TCTGTTGTGACATTTTGATTTCTTTCCGTCTCGCAACAAGCGCTTCGCATCCAGACCCGCTGGCACCCGCGCCCAGCCCTCGCCCCGGAGACGGGAAGGTCAGGAGTTCACGGCGAGGCGCGGGGGCGGGAAGGGGATCTTACATTCAAACTCCGGCGGGGAGCCGGGCGCCTCCAGACCACAGCATCCCTCGCCAGCCCGAGGAGGAGCGCGGGGGGGATGCGTCAGGAGGTAGCCAGCGCGGACCTCCTCCTACCACGAGAGAAAGAATGAGGTGAAACAAGGGCTCCCACGTCCGCCGTGAATGGGAGGGTCGCCGTAAGTTAGCCTAGTTCCTAGCGTGTCTTTGGCCACCAGGGTTAGGTGCTCCAGGGATCACACCTGCTACTGCAGGTTCGAGTGCCACTGTGAGTCTTGAACGCTTTCTGGTCCCCTCACAGCCCTGGCCAGCTCCTTCATGAGAAGGGGAGGTGCCGTTGGCAGGGTAGGGCGTTCTGCTAGGGGTCTAGACCACGTCCACATCTGACCTGCAAGAACATACCCCCCAGCTATCACTAGCCCTTTGCTGAAGGAACAAGGATTTGCTCCTTTACTTTTGTAATGGGAGCAGAAAGTTGTCAGTTTGGGGAGCTGACAGCGCTTTGCACCCATCCCTCTCACTGTGTTCTCCCCTGTCCTGCACAACTCCATATAATTTTACTTTTATGTGCCTGTGCACCACCACTCTTGCTGTTTTGGACAAACTGATTTAAGCAGCTAGCCTGTAAAGCAGACTGGATGGAGAGGAGTCAACTGTCCTTGAAGAATCTGGGTTTGTTCACACATGGCTGTCTGGGCCCAAACTTTTTAATGGGCTGCTCAAGCTTTCACTATGAACACTCCTTAAGGCAATGATGTAATACAAACAATACTAAGCCACTTCACACCACAAGGAAGGCTGGGGGAAAGAGGAGGAAAAATAAATCTGGAAAACTCTGTTTTCCCCCTTTGCCCTATTCAATCACAATGATCATTGCCATATCTCAGGGCTAGCAGAGGCTCATGTGACTTACCCAAAGCCTGAGAACAAATTCATTTCAGAGTACAGAGTTCTTAATCTTAGGCTTGCGCTACACTATACAGTTAGGTCAATGTAAGCTGTCTTGCATTGACTTTCCTGTGAAAGTGACTTCACTTAAATTTAGCTCCTGCCAACATAAAAGCCTCTCTGTGTTGACATAGCCCTTGTCTTCATTACCACAGGCCGTCGACCTAAGTTACGCACCTTCGATTATGTAAATAAAGTAGGTGAAGTCAACACAATTAGGTCTGCTTACCGCAGTATCTTCACCGCAGTAAGTCAACAGCTGACACTTTCCTGCCAACTTCACTTACTCTTGTTTTGGTGGAGTACCCAGTCCATAAGAGAGCGTTTGGCAGTTGATTTATCGAATCTATACTAGACACAGTAAATCGACCCCCACTGGATTGATCACTATCTGTCAATCCAGCCTGTAATGAAGACATGGCCTTAGAGCATGATTACATTTAGAAGATTACAGCAGCAAAGCTGTACAGATAAAACTGTGCCAATCAATGTAAGCTTGCTCATTGACTTAATAAAACCAGCTCAACAAACATAGCTTATGGCATTTGGGGTACATGTACACAGCACCCTTAACTCAAAATAAATTACACAGTTTGTGCTATGCTTATTTTGAGGTTATTTCAAAATAAAGCCCTATTTTGACAAATCCCTTAATCCTCTTGAAATGAGGGCTACAGGGATGCCGGAATAGTGTGTCCGTTATTTATTTCAAAATAACGGGCACGTTTAAAGATGCGGAATTGCTATTTCGGGATACTTCCAGTATCCCAAAATAGTCACGCTCTCTAAACGTAGCCTGAGAGAGCATCTCCTACTGACATAGTGCTGTACACACAAGTGTTTATTCAGGCAAAACTTATTTCCCCAGGGAGTGCGGTTATTTTTAATCATCCTGAGTGAGAAAAGATTTGCTAACAGAAGTGCTAGTGTAGACATGGCCTATATAAAACTACTTCTCTCTGTGGAGTAGAGTTACAATTGGGCTACAGCTACACTGCAAGGCTTCTTGCACAAAAACCCGTGGAGAGTCCACACCTCAAATGCACTTTTGTGCAAGGAAATCAAAAGTAAAATGGCAGAACCGAAGGCTTTTTCCACTGTAGGTAAACCTCCTTTTATGAGGCATAAACTCCCTTTTGCGCAAGAGTTCTTGCACAAAAAGGCAAGCATGGATGCTCCGCAGGGGTTTCTTGTGCAATAAACCTCTATGGGTTCTGTGAATGGCCACCAGAGCTTTCTTGCACGAGAGTGTCCATGCAGCGTGGATGCTCTCTTGTGCAAAAGCACATCACTTCTGTGATGTGCTTTGAGGTGTGGACATGCTCTTGCACTAGAAGTTTTTGCACAAAAACTCTTGCGCAAAAGGCTTCTTGCGCAAGAAGCATGTAGTGTAGATGTAGCCTTGACGTATTTAGGCCAACACAGCATTCACATGGACATTTACTGGCTTTCAGGAGTTGTCCCACAGTGCCCAACACTGACAATACAATTGATACAAGTACTCCTGGTGAGGACACACACCAGCAACACAGGGAGTCAAGTGTTTGCACACGCACACACACACACACACACACACACTCATTTAATAACTGTGATAGCACTATGCTGATGTTAGTTAAGTGAACATAATATTGTAGTGTAGACATAGCCTTAGTTTTCTATCCTTTGCATGGACCATTATGCCTGATGATGGGTCTTAATATTGCCAGCCCCAATCATGCATCAAATAAAAAATCAGTAAAAAAACAAACAAATCCAAAAGATAATAAAACAAAAAGAAAAATTTTCACCATGAAGTTATCTTTAAAAACACGAGATTTATGTGAACTAATAAAACTGGATCGTTTTATTTGCCTTATGTTCTGGTTTTGGTTTTAGTTTTTATTTTGTATTTTCCTGCTTTTTCTGCTACCACAATTCTAAAAACTTAGTTTTAAAAATAAAATTAAAGCTGGCATTCTCATGACTCCTGGAGCTTGCCTGGATACATTATACATGGATGATTATCAGTTGTATGGTCAACTAGGAATTCAGCATTCAATCAGCGTCCTATCTATGTCCTTGTCTATACTAGAAAAGACAAGAAGTATTTTACACTCGGTTTCACATGATAGGACATTTCAAGAAGTATGGGATAAACATGATTTGGTGCATTCAGCAGTTCTCTGGAGAAAATCTGCTAATGACTTGTAGTTATCATTGTATTTTGGCAAGACGTAACTCAATTCTCTGCTCACTGAAAGGGATTAAGCATTATCCTGATTAACATTTTATGATCAGTGTTTGCTGCCGGAGTCAGGCTAATTTGCTAATTGACACCAGAGAATGTCCCCCTCCCCCCCTTATTTTTCCCCTTTAGAAGAAATAAAACGCAACCATTCCACCTTAAAACAGTTTAGGCTGTAAGCTGAAAGGCTGTGTCTGCAGCGACCTTGCTATGATCTAAAGTGTTTTGTTTACAGTCAGGCACCCCCTGATCGCCGCAGCAAATAGTGAGAGAGGCAGGCGTCTGCTGTAGTAGTAGCAGCAAAGCGTGAAAAACTACTATAGAGGCTTTGCAGTACAGATCTTCAAATATCAGAGCGCCATCCTCCCGCAGAAAGAGGGCACGGCAGGCAAAATACAGCCAGGTTTTCAGATAAATAGTTCCAAGGAGACACGATGTACTTTTTAATCCCGTTTGACGTCCAGTTATGCACCATGCTGGAAATGACTGAGCTCTTGAGCCATTATTTTCCGGTACTTCTCCTGAAATAACTCTCTCTCTCTCTCTGTTTCAGTTGTAGAAGAAATGAGTCAAAGGCTGGTGGAAGGCATATGATTAAAGGAAGAAAAACTCAGAGAAATAGAAAGGAATGAGAACAGTTTATGTAGAGGTCTGTGCTTTTCTGTCCTACTTTAACACACTCTGTATTCCCCCGTTTCCCCCCCCCCCTTCCCCCCAGTCCATGCCGTATTTTGCTTCTCAGCTCTTACTTGGACTGCAGGATTAGCCGAGCCCCAGAATTGTTGTCTGACTTTGGGAGCTGGTTATGCAATCTTTCCATCTTCATTTTTGCCCCATCCCCCTCGCTTTTAAGACGGCACTCGCAAAAACGGCAAAGCATGTTTAAGCCAGCCATTTACAGTCTTGGGAGAAGGAGGTGTTTCAATTAATTTAGGAAGTGTGGGTCAGGCAGGCATAATCAAACAGCCACTCACTCTACCAGACCCTGTTGCAGTCAAGGAAATGGGAAGCGGAGGTGATATATTTCAGTTGTTTCAGGAAGCTTGTTTTTGACCTGTCCAAGGCTGTGAGAGCTCTGTATAATTCAAACCCCATTAAAAACTCATTTGCATGCAAATGCTACCTTCCTGAAGGAATTT